TATATAAAGCTATCATATAAAGGGTCTCTTTTTTAAGTCTTATATGGATACATGTGCTAAATTAAGATTTTTTGAATTGACATGTTTTTACATTTTCACGTTAAATAGGGAGATGAAACTTTGGCAAAAAAATGAAAAATAAAAAAAGGGACAAGAAACCAGGTAGCACTAAAGTAACATTAGGTTCTGAATCTGTAGCCAAGAAATGGGGGGAGAGCTAATTGGAAAAGCCCCTTATATTCATGTTCCATCTCATACTTAGAAAAGGATGTCTGCACTTTGCACCTTAAAGTCTCGCCTGTGAAAAAGAAAATTGTTACAGGTTGCATCAGTAATAAGAAGGCTTCACTCTATGCTCACTCTTTGCATGTTGAATTTGTGAGTCGCTACTTCAATCTCCATGCAACCTGAGTTTTGGGTAAAGTAAGCAAGTTCTGAAGCTAATTGGGATCCCATGCGGTACCGTGTGAGAATCAAAAGGCCGCCGACTTAATTGAGTTGATAAAGATGACATTGGTAGCTCTATTTTAAGTGTCCTATTTTGAAAGGAAAAAGTAAAGAAAGTGATAGGTAATTAATTCATGTTACCGATATTAATGTATCATGATGAGGCGAAGAATAATTTCCTTAATAATTAATTTAATCATCATATATTGTTTTTATTATGGTCAAAACAAAAATAATACTGCTTAAAATTAAATAAATTATTCATTTCAATCTTGATAAAAAAAAAAGAAAGGTTTCATAATGTAACAAATGAAATATTGAAGTTCAAATAAAAATGGATTATAAATTATTTGAATTTTTTATTTTAGTAATGATCGGTAATAATTGTATACACTATGGCGCCAAAATAAAGAGGTAAGTTTATGATGAAGCAAATAAAAAAGATAAATTTCAAATTAAAAAATAGAAGAAATAAAGATAAAAGAGAAAAACTTTTGATGATTGTTGAGGTGAATAAGTGAAGGGATAAAATTCGATGGTGAAAATAAAAAGGATAAAATAATGAAGGGAAGAAAAAAAAGGGGACAGGAAAAAGTATGAAGCAAACGATTTTTTTTAAAATTACTTAAATGAGAAGGGATAATTAAAAGAAGAGAAAGGGGTAAACATTGAGGGGAAAAAACAAGAATAATGTGATTCTGGCAAGCCTTTGATCATTTCTTTCGATGATGGAATTCATCTAAAAGCTTTGTTGTTTGACTTGGCCATACTCAAGCCAGCATTTAGGATTATCGCTCATGGTAATAGATCATCAACAAAATATTATGGGGTTTATCTTTTTCATCATTTGATTGTTGTGGTTTAGGTAAATCTAACCAAGTGTTTGTGTTAGGGCTGTTTTGCTAATGCAAAGAAGTGTTACAATGCCTCAGTGTGTTGAAGAAATTTTGATTGAGATTGTGATCAACATTTTTGAGTATAATGTAAAAGATCTCTAAAATATTTAAATATTTTTTTAAATTAGACAATGCACTATATTTGACCATTATTTAAGTCCAACTTTTTCATGCATCGCGCGTGGAGTAAATACTTGAATAGTATTCCTGTTTTGGAATTTTAGAGTTTGATTTGAATTACAAAAAAATTTGAATAAGTATCATAGATTGAATTGAATTCAACATGTAGTTTTAGTTCTTAGAAGGTGAGAGGGTAATTTATTTAGGGCAGTTTTATTCTTATTGTATTACCAAAAATAAACCTTAATCGTTAACTTTTTAACATTGTTATTGTCTATACAAGTATTGTTCAGGATTTACTTTCCTACGAATTTAACCCTGACTATTACAGTACCCATGTGGAAAGTAATGGTGTTAAAAAAATTAATAGTTAGGGTTTATTTTGCCATGAATTTAAAATTTTATGATTTATTTTGCATATTTTAATAGTTTAGTATCCATGGCAATTTTTGAGCAAAAGTTTAGGATCCGATGTGCTCATTAATCCATTTACATATACTAAATAAGTAAATGGATGTTATGACGTATGAGATTTTTAACATATTTGAGCATTTAGACAGTTAGATCTTTTTGTCATGTGATATTTTTAAATCTTCATGGACATTTAGGATAATCATATTATTATATGAGTCAATAAGACTTTGTAGGTATAACGATTAATATTTCTATAAAAATTTAAATATGCATGATTAAAAAATTAATATTTTCTTCTTTTGTCATGTGAGATTTTTGAATTTCTGTAGATATTTAGGATAATTAAATTACTGTGTGGGTCAATAAGACATGATTAAGATTCTTTTAAACACAGACACACACGCCTAAAGAATTAATAAATAATTTAAGTTATTTGATTATTTTATTGTGAGATTTTAAAATTTTCACAGATAATAAGAATAATCATATTATTGTGTGAGTGAATAAGATTTTATAAATATAATGATTAATTTTACAAAAAAAATGTCTAGAAAAAAGAAATTTTTTTCTCAAAAACTCTTTTATAATATCTTTTTTCTTTTTCTTATTTCAAAAAATTGGGAAAACTAATTGAAGATAAAGCATACATATTAAAATTTTAAAAAATTATTTTATTTACAAAATAGTAAGTTATTTTTAATTAATTTTTTTTAAAAGATGTGTTCACTAACAAACTTATAATTCAAAACTAAATAAACTTTGATCCCTATTGTAGGATATGCAAGCTTCAAAATTTAATTATGGGTCAAATTTGCCCTTATAAATAAATAATTATTTCCTTTATTGTCATCGTTGTTGTTGATGTGAATGAAAAAGGATAATTAAAATTCTTTTAAAATTATATTAATTTAACATAACTAATTTAAGGTAACTATTTTTACAAGCGAATGTTGTGGGATGCTTATCACCTCTCTCACACACAATCAATCTTCGAAACTTATTTCTTTATTTTTTTTTAAAGATTTCTCAAATTTTTTTGAAAATTTTAATAGGGACTCTTACTCAATGCATTTCTCCTTCAAAGGTCAGAATCGTGCCATCCTTATCCCAATTTCGAGTGCGACAAAACTAATTTCATCTAGTACAGCAGTACTGTGAAGTCCCCATCTACAAGTTTGTTTTGTCCACGCATATTTATTTATTAAAAAAAAAACAAAGCAAATTACTTTTGAATTCAATACAACCCATTCATGCCTCCCACTATGAACGATTTTTTTTCCCCCCGCTTTAATTTGCTTTTATTGGACAACTGGCTCCCCCTTCCTTTTTCTTTCTTTCTTTTAGGCTTTGGCAACATATGGGTCACCACTCCTTCAAAGTACTAATTGCTTTCCCATTCCTCAAAGTGACGTTTCTTTCACAAATATCCCTCCTTCACGTACCTCAATTACATGAGTATTTTTTTTTTTTAAAATACAAGGCTACGGTAACATCGTGCGAATACCGGAATCAAGTAATATCTCAATTACATGAGTATTCACTTATAATAATCGTTTGTATAATAAAGCAAGTCGATTGTGATGGAAAAGAATTGACAGATGATTGCAGATTTAACAAGAGGTTATTATGTCACCTGCACCTGCAAATTTCTCTATTCTATCAAAAAGAAAAGGCAATGCCCAAAATTTAACAATTCTCGAGTTTGAGTATATCAATTAACTGAAACGTGTTTTAAAATAAGAAATCTAAAAAGCAAGAAATTACATTTAGTACTCACAACTTGAACACGCTGGCAAAGGAAAGCTGCCTAGAGCCATTATTAGAGATATGTTATGACTGCAATCGACTTGCTACCATTAACCTCCTAAAATTATGATAGTTAATTGACCAGTGGATGTTCATATGTGGCCATAGGCTAACAGGAATAAGCCACATAGATAAGCTTATATAAATAAAGATGCTTGTATAAATAAATGAAAATCTTTATATATGAACCTAGACTATAGGGACATGCCTCCCCGTTAATTGATGGTCTAAATGTAACCTTGCCATGATCAAAATATTAACAATAAGACACTTACACAAAGATACCTAGGATGAATTTGCAACCGATGCTAAAGCAGTCAAGGCACCCTCTTACACAATTTGCTTCCCATTCTGCCAAACACAGAAGGAGATTCAAATAAGAGGGGAATTCAAATCTTTTAGAACCCAATTTTGTACCTAAGAGAATTAAAAGAGGTGCATACAGCTGGAATAGAAAAGAGGAGAGATCTTTAGAACAAACCTCGAGACACAGAAGAATGGGGTTCTTGCAATCTGGCCACAAATGAAGATTACCTACAGAAAAATGAGCACAGCTGGAAGTTCATGAACATACAAACTATAGAAGGTGTTGATATCTAAACCATGTAGCTCGAAATGAAAAGAAGACAAAGAAGTAAGTGAAGAAATAGCAAAAATGCAGAACTGAAAATGTAAAGTAATCTCATAAAATCGAAGAACCTAAAAGCTGAAATCACCTTGGTAGATTTGGAGTCACCAGAAATTGGATGATAGACACGGAGAACAGAGGGCGCGACAACTTCTCCATCTGACTTGAACAGAGGAAGCAATGAATGATGAGGAAAGACACAAAGAACAACACGAAGCAAATCTGACGACACTCAAACCTTGAATCCGACAACCAGATCTGAGAGGGAGATGCTGTGGAAGGATTTGAGAACCATTGTTCTTAGCTCTGCTTTGAAGCTCGAGACACCGAAGGAGTTGCAAGAGAGAAAAAAGGGCCGAGTGAAAAAAAGGAGAAAGAGGAACAAAGGAGGAGAAAAGGGCAAAAAAAAAAAAAAAGCATGTAGTAGCAAAAACGATCAGCTTTTCATTAAAAAAAAATTATCAGCCTTTTTTTTAAAAAAAAAACAAATTTGAGAGAAGGGAGGAGTTTTGAAATTTAAAAAGTGAAAAAAAAAGAGGGAATTTTTTTTTTGGGACAGAAAGAAGCTTGCAGCCTTACTTTATGTCAGGATGAAGTGTTATTAGCCATTTGAAGTGAAAGACCGAAAATGCCCTGTAGCTCCATTGTAGCCGATGCGTGAATCTTTGTAGGAAATAAGAGTTTTGAATGCTTTAATGCCTTTGATCATGTTCTCCTTGTTTGCAATAGCATCCTGCATCTGATTGTTTTCAGTTTGTAAATTCATTTGCTGATCATGTTTAGATGCATTTTCCTTTCTTGTTGACTGATTGTTGCTGTGTTGACCTTCTGATAAAGTGGCCTTACCTTTATCCACCATTTCTTCATCTGGTTTCATGACATTTCTATTGAGTAAATCCACTTCTTCTTTGGACGCAGGAGGGTCCATGTTTTGATCTATCCTTTTTGAAGCAGAGAAGACGAAATTGGGATTTAGCACGTTTTGGGTGTTCATAGATCAGAGCTTTCAGAGTCCTTTGGCTCACGTCTTACAAATAAAAAGATCCGAGCTGCTTGTGTTTTGAGCCTTGGGTTTCCCGATCGTTGTGATGCCTTGGCGACAACATTTGGGTGTTCGGACTCTCTCGTTATTTTAATGGAATGTCAGTGATACTTCTTTATGAAATATTTATCCCAACTCATCATCATTCTCTACTTCTCGAAAGCAGAACCAATAATTTAAGCTACCCAGTTCATTTCTCTCGTTTTCGTCTTTCCTATAAACTTGAAAACATGAAGGGTACACTGCTCTCGATTCTTGCTTTGTATGTGTTCTTAGTTTCATTCATCAATATTATTAGTCACCCAGTACAAGTTGTTGCAGATGGCGCTAATTCATCAGGTAATTATAATGCTATGTGCTACATAACGACTTGAGTGAATTTGATGTTCATTATTTACTTTAGGATTATGAGGATGATATTGCTTACTAACTTCTGGTTTACTGCTAGTTTTAACATGAGATAACTAAATATTTTCATTTATACTGGATCAGGGGTGATACGCATAGATTGTGGGGTAACCAAAGAGTATTGGGACGACAATAATTTTTACTATGAGGCAGATGGAGCAAGGTTTGTGGAATTTGGGGAAATACATAACGTATCCTCAAAGTACATCTTGACAAGTAAAGACGACAACCGGTCTGCGCAGCAACTGAACACCTTGAGAAGCTTCCCAGAAGGAGAAAGGAACTGCTATAAGCTCAAACCCAAACAAGGCAAAAATAACACTTATCTCATAAGGGCTTTGCACTTTTACGGAAACTATGACAACAAATATTCAACTCCAGAGTTTGATTTGCATCTTGGCGTCGATTATTGGAGCCATATAGGTTTGGATGATTCCAGATATTCTTTCCAAGGGGAGATCATTCATGTTGCCCCAGCCGACACTGTTGACGTGTGCCTTGCAAACGCAGGGCGGGGCATCCCACTCATTTCCTTGTTAGAGCTTTATCCTTTGCCTTATTCTCTATATCAGCCCCCAACACCACTAGACCTCTACGATCGCATTAGCTGTGGTATGAAAGGAACTTTCTCCAGGTGAGTTCATTTAACCATAACCTATATTCATTCCGGATTTAAATTCAATGAGTGGTCTAAGTCCACTCGTGTCTCCATAGCACGATAACAACCGTTCCATTTAATCTAATGTTTATAAAAAAATGTCATATAGTAATAAAAAATACTAGATATCTCAAATTTTGGTTCTAATCTTGAAGATTATTTTGAATTTTTGAAGAGAAATGTACCTTGACAATTTTCAAATGCTAATAAAATCTAATAACTATAATTTAAATACTCATTGCGCAAATATATTTAGCCTGCTTATTGAATCCGGATTCAATTTTTTCTGCTTTTTTAAAAACTTGAATGTAGAAACTAATCAACTAATTCACTCAAATTAAAAAAAGCAGGTAAATTAAGCAAATTTATGCTAATTTTTCACATGCCCCTCCTTTTAAAAATTTATATTAGAATATTAACATAACTTATGAATCTAACCATAAGGATACTTTAGGAAAGATAAATATGGGAGGTTTGACAAAGGATATTTTGATTTTGATGTCTTACCGATCGGACGGAGTAAGTATTAATTGCTTTAATTTATTTACATATATCCATCCAGCATATATCAATCATATCATATGTAAATTTGTGGGACGACTTAACAGGCTATAAATGTACATGACGGAGAGGTTTGGTCATATTTTATGGAGATATAGACACAGCCAATTATCATTAATGCCTTTTTTGTTCAAATAACAATGCAGATACTCGAATGACCCCTACGGCAGATCTTGGTTCAGTGATACTGATAAAGCCATCGCCAACTCAAAGTCAATCAGCACATCAACAGCTATTAAGGATGATTCCAAAGACTACAAACCTCCAAAGCAAGTGTTGAGCACTGCAATCACATCACTGAATGCTTCCTTTCCCTTAGTGATTAACGTGTTTCCCCGTAATGACTATGAGTATCATGTTTATCTTCATTTTTTTGACTTTGAGAAGCATCCTCAAAATCAGCGAAGAAGCATGGAAATAAATTTGACCGATAGGATCCGAGAGTCCATAACTCTTAACTACAAGCAACTCCTTACCATAAACAAGACAATTCCGAAAGGGTCCTTCAAAGCAATTTCAATCATATCCTCCCCAGGTTCTGGTTTGCCCCCCATGATCAATGCTTATGAGATCTACAGAGTACTACCACAGCCAACGTCACCAACTCATGAACGAGATGGCAAGTGTGCTTATTGATTTATACTTTGCTATCTTATGGCTTTTCCTTTCACTTACTTATAAAGAATTAACGAAGGGTCATTTTAATCTATTTTCTTAAGTTGGTCCATCATCTGAGCGGTTTGTTTTATCTATTAGAGGCCAAATCAGTGTCTTTCTTCGACAATTTCCTACCACAATGTTTCATATTTTTCTTCCTATTGAATAAAAGAGCACTTCTTTTTAATGATGTTTGTGAACCCTGAAACTCTTTTTGGAAATATAGTTGATGCTATATGGAAGATCAAAGAGGCCTATAAAATCCTCAGAATCAGTTGGCAAGGAGATCCCTGCTTGCGAGTGCAATATAGATGGGAAGGTGTAACTTGCAATTACTCTGAAAGCATCCCTAGGATCATCTCATTGTGAGTATAATAGGTGATCTTTGTACAATGGTATTAATTTAATAATGTATATGTTTATATTATTGAGCCGGCAGAAAAAGAGCTGTGACTCACAATCTCTCTGTTCTTCTTTGCTTGTATTATTTATAACTGCCGGAAAAAAAAAAAATCATCCTTGGCAATTTATGAATAGGGACTTGAGCTCAAGCAAATTAGAAGGAGACATAGTTACTTATTTCTCCAATCTCATGATGCTGGCTTCCTTGTAAGTATCATCTATGTAAAGTCAGCTGACATTTTTCTATAGCTATGCTAAATGGAAACTTGACGTAGTAATGAGTTTTTTAAGTTATGCAGAGATTTGTCAAACAACCAATTGACAGGAGAAATACCACAACTTTTGGCAAAACTTCCCAAATTGAAAGTACTGTAAGTTGCAAATGCTTTGGCATAGCAGTAAAACTTCCTCGTTCAGAGTCTTGCAACTTATCTCACGTGATATATTTGAAGTAATTTGACAGGGAATAATCTCAAAGGTTCAATTCCAAAGGCTCTGATGGAGAAGTCGAGTACCGGTTTGACGTTGAGGTACTTTCTTATTCTATTTACACAAATCTCTTGAAAATTCATTCCTAATATCAAGCAGTTTCTCGACATTGAATGGCCAGTATTTTTAGTTATATTAAGAATATTCAATAGAACTGTTCTATTGATTCATCTTTCATTTGCCTTCACATTTGCTGTATAGCTTAAAATAGTTGTATTCATTTCAGACGTTTTCTAATATCAATAACTGTACCCATCATCAATTATTTACTCCTATACGTTAAACTGACACTTTCATATTAATGCTATAATTTCCAAGTTTGGATGGAAACCCAGGCCTATGCCAAACAGGTTCCTGCAAAACCACAACAAAGAAGTTCATTGTACCACTTGTTGCCTCAGTTGCAGCTTCTATGGCAACTCTTGTAATAATAATCTACATTTCGACGGTACTGTACAAACGTAAAAGAAAAAAGCAAAAAGGTACAGAATGTCACCAAAGCACGACCCTACGTTTATAAGGGTTTATTTGCAATCTCCTACTTTGATTAATTAAATCTTCTCATTCTTCCATGATTCATTTAAAGCGGTCCCTGCTGAACATTCTTATATGTGGGTCCGTGTCATAGGGGGTGGAAAGTTTATTGTGAAAGTTGCTAAATATTTTATTTTAAATATTAGTCTTTTTTATGCTTGTTAAATTCAATTACACAAATATAATGCTGTTGTAAATTTGAAATATGAATTGCTCCAGTGTTGTTGTTCAAGAAAGCTGGCGATCTTAAATCAAAAAATCAAGCATTTTGTGAGGATGAAATTCTTAGGATTACCAATAACTTCGAATCAGTAATTGGAGAAGGGGGATTTGGAAAAGTGTACCTTGGAAAGCTACAAGATGGTACACAAGTTGCAGTCAAATTGCTTTCAAAGTCATCACAACAAGGATTTAAAGAGTTTGAATCAGAGGTTAGCTAGTAGTGAAATCATTTATTGATGATATGGGTACTGAAGCATTTCTATTACATTATTGATATATTGTTCTATTTATTCCTGATAAGATAAGGTTCAAATTGCAGGCAAAACTATTGTCCATAGTTTTTCATAGGAACCTGGTTTCTCTTGTTGGTTACTGTGACGATGGTGACATGAGAGCATTGATTTATGAATATATGGCAAAGGGAAATCTTCGACACCAATTGTCAGGTTTGTTAAATCTTATTTTTCCAATATCTTTGCAATTACACAAAGGAATACAATTTTGGCGGCCAATTTTTTTTTTTTGGGTAGATTTTCCTGATAATGTTGAAGGTTTTGAGAGTGTTTCAAAGAATGCATGCAAAGATTCATGACAATTTTCTTGAACAACATGATGTTTTGCAGATAAAAATCCATGCATTTTAAAGTGGAATGAGAGACTTCAAATCGCATTAGATACAGCATATGGTGTGTAGACTATTAGCTTCTTCCCCATGATTGCATTAGCAATCCATTTTTTTGTTTCAATTTCTATTCTAGCTTTATCCTTTATTTTATCTCAAGTATTTATTATTTGCTTGCTGAAAATGCAGGACTGGACTATTTGCATAATGGCTGCAAACCACCGATAATTCATAGAGATCTAAAATCATCTAACATCTTAATAAGTGAAAACATGCAAGCCAAAATAGCTGATTTTGGATTATCCAAAGCTTTTGCTAATGACACTGACACTCACATTTCAACTCGTCCAGCAGGCACATTTGGTTACCTTGACCCCGAGTATGTCATAAATAATATATTCTTGGCATTTCTTTTTCAATATTCTTGATTGATGCTTAAACCATAAGTTTCTTCTATTTTCTGTGTTCCTCTACTTGAAGCAAAATTTAGTGGAATAGCTAGCATATTTTCTTATCTTACAATGCATACAAATTCAAATTAAAGGAATCCACAACTTTGAAATGTAGCTATGAGTAATAAATTATTTGTTGAGCTTAATTAATTTTTCTCAATAACTAAATTATCTTTTAAAATTTACAGATTCTATAGGTTTGGGAACTTGAACAAGAAAAGTGATGTTTATAGTTTTGGGATAATTCTACTTGAGCTAATGACCGGTCGATCAGCAATTAACAAAACACCTGAAGGCACAAGTCACATAGTTGATTGGGTAACTCCAAAGTTTGAGATCGAGGATATCCAATCTGTTATGGATCCAAAGTTAGAGGGAAATTTCAATACTGCTTCAGCTCAGAAGCTTTTAGAGATAGCCTTGTCCTGTGTTCAATCAACTGCAATCAAAAGACCTGATATAAGTAATGTGGTGAATGATCTGAAGCAATGCTTGGCCTTGGAAACATCCCTTGAAAGTGCAGAAAGCAGCACAATATTATCAGGCACTACATTGTTTGATACAAGTTTTTATCAGTGTGGATCAGACTCACCTAGCTCCATCTGTTAGATAGGACTATTTCTTGAGCCATCCAATTGTTTGTCTTAAATCAAATTCTTTGTAAGTTTGTATGCTTGCTTTTCTCTAGTAGACTCACTTATAACTACACGGTTAATTAAGTGTAATTTGGCCCGATATAGAAATTTGCAAATGACCAGAACTAAATTAGATTATGAATTCAAACTCAAAGGATTTCAGCTATTTGTGATCCATAGCTCAAATGGTTATACTTTGCACGGCAACCAAATTGGTAAATTAAATACATACCAATTCAAAAGACGTTGGAAAAAAAACAAATAAAAATCAGTTTGAAATGCAATTTACCGACTGAAAAAACAATTATAATGAAAAATAATGTACCATAAAAAAAGTCCAATATATAGTTCATTCCTTCTATGTGGTTGCTCGCTTGTCTTATTGTATATAGTGATGGAGAATATATTACATATGGTAGGGAATTAATTAGAGGTGTGTTTGTTTTTGTCCCAAGAGTTTCTTCTTTTACTTGAAATTACAAAGGAATTAAGAAAGATTCTGTTCATTGCTTTCATATTCTTTTGACAAAGAATATGTTCATCTATTATCAAGAAACCTTACAACTCATCATGGATGTGGAAGGGAATATGCTCCTCTTTTAATCTCATTTTACCCAAACTATCTTGGCAAGTGGGTTCGGGTCATAAGGTTCCTCTTCATCATCCATTATGGTACATACTGAATTCTCCTTCTCTCATAGCTAATCGGAACATCGTTGATACTTCGAACCTCGCAGTCAAGGATCTTGTTTTGCAACATGTTTGGGGATGGTCTGGAAAAGAATGGAACAAGCAGTTTATTATATCCTCCCTATATGACCATCGTGTTTCTGAATTAATTTTGAAAATTCCATTGTTTTTTGCTCAATCTCATGACAAATAGTTTGGTCATGTTCTGGCACAGATACAGTTGAAATACTCGGTGAAAAAAGGCTATGAACTTCTTACATCCAGTAACAGGAATGTATCTTCTTTGTCTACATTCTCCTTCTGGAAACAATTTTCGAAGCTGCATTTACCTTCCTTTCAAACACACATTACTTATGTGGAAAATTCTTAACAAAGCTCTCCCAACAGCTAATATCTCGAGAGACCATCGTCTTGATAATAACAATCCGTGTCCTTTTGGCTGTAACAGTGATGAAACACTTGATCATATCTTTGTAAGTGTGTGTTGGCGAGATCTTTTATGGTTTGGTGGTTTATCTGTTTGATCTATCTTTTTACGTGAATCTAGCATTGAAAGATGATTGTTTTATATTTTTTTGTCTTCTGTGCGGAGACAAGACAGTCAAATTGAGGACTTGAAACATATCTTCACTCTCCTCAACCAGATTTGGCTTCATCGGAACAATGTTATTTTTCATGGTCTAAAGCCAGATGCAGCTAAGATGATATTGAGAGAATTTCAAAGTTAATGCCAAATCCTTGCAAAATATTTGTGACTGGTCAATGGATTCAAATTTGAAGTTTAATTCTAGGACCCCTCACTCATCTCAACTGCAATCTACTGATGTCTGGGCTTGCTGGATGCATAAATATAAAAAAGGAAACAACTATTCTCTCATGTGGTTAACTGTCATAATTCACAACTCATGAATGGCTTGGTAATTCAAAAGATCTCTCAAGATACTTATGTTTTCTCCCTTTTATGTCAGAGATCTGCTCTCTGGTGGATCACTTCTCATTGTCATGATTATAGTGAACAAATCAAATGCGCTTGCAAGGATTTCTTATCACTTCTCATTGTCATGATTTTAGTGTACAAATCAAATGCTCTTGCAAGGATTTCTTATCCTCTCTGGATCCAGATCATCATGGAAACCAACATCCAATGCTGTCATTTTAGATATCCAAGCTTTACTCCACAAATTTCGACGACGACTTTTTAATGTGGTTCAAGAAGTATGTTCTTTCATGTCTTTCTTTACCTTTTTCCCTTGGCCTTTCTGTAATTGCTTGTACGTACGTATGTATGTATGTATATTTAACATAAAAAAGTTATTCAATTGAAGGGCAGGTATAAACTGGCTTTATTTTATGCCTGTAATAACCCCAACAAAATTTAAACTGAATAAATAAATAAATATATATAGTAACTTACTTAAACTGTGTTTATATTAGTTTTTGGGATAATATAGCAAGTTAGAGACTTGGTTAAGTGGCAGCTGAGGAAGGTTTCATATAACAGGTCCCCAGTTCGAATTCGGATGTGTACAAAAGAAAGGGTGATTTTTTTATTTTTCTGATCATGTGAAATTATCATATTGCCATTGGTTTCATCAGATTTTTTTTTAAAACTTTTTCTTTCTTCTTTCTCGATGGATCTGGACCAGAGAAAGAGCTTTGAGAGCACTGACGTTTTGCTCTGCCTCTCAACTGAAGCTACCTTCTTCCTCCTCCACCGAAGCCAGCAACGTCGTTCGTGTAGCCGCTGTTGAAGCTCTGCTTATTCGCTCACCTCAGCTGTGATTTTTTTTAGTTCTTACTGTTCGTCCGTCCGCCTCTGCTGCTGATTCAAGAATGAAAAGTTTGTCTTTCTCTTAGCTTCTGGTTCGCATGGATATAAAAGATTTGGGTGAGCAAAGATCTCTTCCTTTGGGTTCATTTTCTGTGTATTGCTAAGCTTATTCTTCTTCATTCATGGTGGCCGTTTTCTTCACTGTTCATCATCGTCCTCCTTCCTCTGTCCGTGCGTGTTGATTCATTGGAGGTTAGAAGCTTCAATCTCTTCCTTTTTCCTCATAATATGGGCGTGTGAGTAGCTGGGGGTATTACAGAAACTAGGAATCTGTGTGTGCTCTACTGCTGCCATGACCCAAAAAAAAATCTGGACTGAAATCGAAAGAGACAAGCTTGGATATATTGTTGGTACTTATGAGATGTCATTGAAGGGCTTGTATGAGGAAAAAAAAATTTGACTTCTAATTATTGATGGGAATTATTGGTTTAGAAATTCTCTTATAGCTTTGTAAAGGAATTTAATTATGGGCTTGCACACAATCATGTGTATATTTAGAGTTTGTTTGATTTTTGGTGAATGGTTAAAGGTTTAAAATTAAAAAGGTAGAAGTAATGCATCTAAGGTAAATGATGCAAAGATTGGGAGAAAACTCCTATTTCAAAGAAATAATATGGCATGGTTAAAGTTTTATGAAGAAAGTAAGAAATTAATGATAATGCTTGAATTAACTTTAAATTATAAATTTGGGTTTTGAGATTTTAATGGTGGCTAGTAAAGGCTGTGTTATAAATTAAAAAGTTATTAAAGATTGTATATATTTATATTTTATAGGGTGTGTGGAAGAACAAGACCCTAAAAAGACTTAAAAGAAGAATACTTTTGAGAGTTTAGAACTTCAACAGGTAAGTGAATAGCATTCCTTATAAGCATTCATTGAAAATCTTTTATTAAAATATTTCATTTTTATGAATTATGTTAGTTTTAGAAATTTTGAAATAATGATGAAGAATAGTCATATTATGATTTGTGCAATTTTTCAAGAAATATATTTTTTTATATTGATGAAGGCACCTTTGCCTATTGAATTTTCAAAATTTCTTGATTTCATGATTAGCGCAAATTTGTACATTCGTTATGGTGTATTGGTTTGACAAGTTTCATATATTTAAAGCAATTCATGCGAGTTTGACCTTGAGAATGAAAATTTGACTTCACAAATAATTATTTCTCTCGCATGTTTGAAACGGGATTTCTAAGAGAACTCTATACAGGACACTACTACTAACGGCAGTTTCGTTAGTCCGTAGCACTGTGGTTAAACACTAGCTAGTTTGTTTCGTGAGTTTAATCTCACGTTTGGTATTCGTGGGCTTCGTACCCGCATTTGATTTCGTGGCATAAGCCGCGTTTGGTTATTTACCCTCGTGGGCTGTGTGTCCACGTTTGTTCCGTAGCTATGGCTACGTTTGGGTACTTACCCTCGTGGACTGGTGTGTCCACGTTTGTTTTCGTGGCATAAGCCGCGTTTGGTTATTTACCCTCGTGGACTGAGTGTCCACGTTTGTAATCTGTTCTGTTGAGTTCTCAAAATTTTAAATGTTGAGTATTATGTGTTTTCAAAATTTACTTGATTTTAACTAGTAATTTGTATCACTTGAGTTATATGAGAGCAGATCGTTTTCTTTAAGCATGATAACATAAATTATTTTCAATTTACTCTTATTTTATACATATGGTTATGACTTACATGTTTATAAATTTTGATAGAATTGCTTTTAACTAGCTGGCACTATTATTAGAAATTATTGATTAAAATTTTAAGAAATTTTTTTTGGAATGCTATTCACTAGAAAAATTATTTTGGCCTCAGATTTGTTAGCTGACGCTGATCCCACCAACGACCTCAAAAAGGGCAACTAGCTACATTGGGTGGACTTTTTGATTGGTATTGCTTTAATATAAATATATAATCTGTATGTCTTTTTGATTTGAAAGTAGTAGCGGATGCTCCACATAGGTTGTTGATGAATTTTATTTTTGGTTTGTATATTGATAGCTGGCTGGAAGGAGCTATGCTCTTGAATTGTATTGTTATTGTAAAAATTTTTGTTGTAGAATTTTTAGGAGATCCTAATTACAGGGGAGGTTCTGCCGAAATTTCTACAAAAACGTTGACACTTTCTTATGATAATAAATTTAAAGAAGTTATTTAAATTCTCATATGATTTGATTAAATTTTGCATTTCTTAAAAAAATGAAATAAATATTCATTTAAAGGCTTACGGGAATGTGAAAGTGATTCACACCCGTGCCGGTCACCCTCTATTTGGGGCGTGACAATGCCAATGGCATTAATCTTTAATTAAAAACAATCTAATTTAACTATAACCATATCAACATTAACAAAGCGTATTATTCATATGTTATGACTAGTTTGGTTTATTTTTGAGAAAATGACAATTAAGGACTCCCTAAGGATATTAATCCCAATTAAATATCATAAAATATTGAAATCTTAATTAAAGGCTGTGGGATTTTAAAAAAATGTAGATTATCTTAAATACCCCTAAAAAAAATCAAAAAACCCGCATGTACAGCCCTAACCTTTCTTGCTTTGTTTCATAATGCCTCGTTCTTTCACATTCCTCAGCGTTTCCGTGTTTGCTCCAATGTTGCGTCAATCGCCAGTGACAATGATGACTTGCAATATTTTATTGAATTTATTGGTGTTTTTAATATAATTAGAAGTCATTTTTTTAATTTTTTAGCAAAAATATAATTAAGTGGATGATTGTGTATGAAAATGGGCATGTAAATGTGATTGAAAGTTAGTGAACCAATTCTATTTTTAATTTTAGGTTTTATGCATGTAGGAAGGCCCAATTTATGGGCCTAAAGATAAAAATTTTGATGCCCAAGTCAAAGGAATGAAGTCAAAAAAGAAAATCTAAACAAGTCATATTCACTGCAGCAAAACCGTACTTCGCTATAGCAAAGTATGATTTTAGTAAAATGCACATTTTTGATCTTCAGCGAACTTTGAGGATTTGGGCACCTCATTTTCGACCATTCTTCACCTCTAGCAGCTGCAGAACATCTAGGGAGAGCAAAAGAAACCAAAGGAGGGTTGAAAAAGCTTGGATTTGGTGGAAAATAAAGGGTTTCGCTCAAGATTGCTCCGGTTAAGCTTTTCTTCTCTTTCTTCTCTTTACTTTGCTATATATATTACTGATTTTGCTGTCATGAGAGCCATGCGTGGCTAATTTTCTTTTAATCTAGGATAGCTATGAATTGATTCTTGAATTAAAGTATGTTTAACCATTTATTTAAGCTTAATATTAGTTTTGCTTATTTAATCTTATGCTTATTTGTCTACTTAATGCTTGGCCACCATTGAGTGTGAATTTAGGGGTTTAGGTTTTGCCTTGGAAGAAAAAAATCTGAATTACACCATTAGATTAAGTAATGTGAGATTAAAATTATTTCTAATTTGCCAATAGGATAGGAATATACCTATTGGATTCATATAATCACATTAGAGTGAGTTTGTGCTTTTTTGCATCTTGGGTAATTATGTTAGGAATAGCATATTAATTCAAGAGAAGGGTGTAATTAATCGAAAGATAATTATTTCTATTAATACTCTAAATTAGCAAAAGTAATATTAAGTGAATTTATTTGGGTAATTACATGCTTTATTAATTAAAAATGGATTAGCCATCCTAGGTTTTCTTGATTGTTTGTGGTTGTTAGAACTTTTATTTTAGTGTATTCATATAATTTTAATTTCTTAATTTGTGAAATCAAATCCAAATTTTGTTTTGATTGACTTGAATGAAAATGGGGAAAGTGAGAAATTTATTGCCTAATTACCAATTAACTTGATTTTTTGTGAGAATGACCTTGGTTTATCACATACCATCTTTACGACCTGTATACTTATGGAATCCATTACATATTTGTGAGCATCACATTTGTTCCAGTTGATCTCAGCTCCTCCTTTCTGGCCTTCATCATTCTTTATGTCATTAAAGTCACTAGCAACAAGACATGGCAAAGAGATATTGTGTAGCTCATCCCAAAGGTCACACCTCTCCATTTCTTTTATGCTAGCATAAATCACAGTAAACAGCCATTTAGGATCTGTTTTCCCCTTTACCTCACAATGGATAAATTGTTTGCTGTCTTGTGAGGTTGAGATTTGAATAATCTCCTCATTCCAAAGTAACCAAATGCCTCTTGACATACCTCTTGCTTTAACAATTCTTTGGTGTTTAAAGCTGAGATGCTTGATGACTTTTTGAGCTTTTTCACCACTACATCAAGTTTCAACCAACATAACAATTTTTGTATTGTTTTTTTTACTATTTCTTTAAAGGCATAGCTAAATGCCTTTCCAGTTGCTCCTCTTGCATTCCAAACTAAAATCATAAAGACAAAGAAAAATTAAACTTAACCTTATAAGGCCAAATCAGTCTCCATAAGAGTCTCTTGGTCCTCTTGCTGGTTGGTTTTTTCACCTAGGATCTCTTGCACGCCATGCTGTTGGTGAATTTAGGCCTTAACCATTTCTTCCACATTCAAAAGACTTATAGCCTGACTTGGCTCTAGTGGTTTGCTCTCATCCATATCGCACAATTTCATGTCTTTGTCTGGTAAAGTCTCTAAAAATTGGTCTACTATAAAGCCTTCAAAGTCTATGCTTTCTGCCTCACATAACTCCTCTACTCTCTGTAGACCTTAGCCCAACTCTTGTGTCTCTAGTATAATCTCATTATCTCCACCCTTTTGACTCCTATGAAAATGCTCCTTCTGACCCCTAGTAAATGCCTCCATTTGACTCCTTTCTCCCCTATTCCTTTTATCTCGCTCTATCACCATCCTAGTCGCCACCCTATACTCTTTCTTTTTCTCTCTTAAATGCCTTCCCGATCCCTTACTTCCCTCTTTTTGACTATTTATTTTGTTCTCCGAAGTCTTGATTTTTTACAATTCTATTTTATTGCCTTTTATGCCTACTTGTCCCTTTTAATCTACCTTTGGGCCCCCTATATACACTTGCATATTAGTGATCTCCTGGAGTACTCCACCTAGGCTTTCCTTCTTCCTATCCTCCCTCTTATCATGTTCTTCTCTCTCCTCCCTCTCCGCAAGTACAATAAATCTCAACCTATTCTTAGCTTTCTTATCTTGGTTCACTGGCTTTTTGCTAATATCTCCTAGATTTCCTCCTCAAGCATTAGGCTTTCTCCATCTAGGTGGACTAGGCTTGCACCTCCATCCCCTTATACGTCGACTCTGCAATCTTTACCAGATAATTAGTTGGAGCAACTAGATCATTCTCCTTCGATTTGACTAGGTAGAATTTACATGGTTTTCCTTCATTGAATTCTCACTCAGTCGGCAATGTTAACATCTCTAATTTTTCCACACCTAAAATAAATTAAATGTATCCCTTCGTATTCAATCTTTAACAATAGGCTCGTCCATATGGTAAGACTACCCTAGTTTTTCACATGTAAGAAGCTACCTGACTAAGGTTACTTAACTTACTTGATTTATAGTTTTTTTCTAAAACTCACACACTGAGGTGTTATTCTCTCTAAACTAGCCTCTTCATCAAACAAGTGAAAATTAGATTAGGTTTTAAGACTATTGATAAACTATAGGACAACCCCTCGTCGAATAAATGAGTCAAATAACATAAATATATCAAGGCAAGCCATCGAGCTCCAAATGGCGGCCATACCACTTGGATCTTAACTCCCCACTCTTCTTTCTAGGCAAACCCTCAGCTTCACATAATCATGTAATACACAAATGCACAAATCATAACATACGTATTAATCATCATAATTAAAATGCAATTCTTACATCATTGTCATGTACTCTTATCATCATTTTTATCTTGTCACAATTTTCTCCATATAACTAACAATTTACATTTGTTTCACATTATTCTTTATTGATGTGAGGTTAAGCACAAGATTTGCTATATCACATAATACCACCTCAAACACTCGATTGCATATGTTCACACACCTTTATAGCTTTTCAACATACCATAAATCTTGCTCAACTTATAAATTTTTAAATAGGTCATGTCATACTTGCAAAACCAATATCACATAACTTAAAAGTAGTTTAAAAAATAACATAACTAGTTAAACACATAAAATTACAAGTAAGTTTCTCTCGATTATCTCAAATCTTTGAGAATTCAAAGGTTACCCTTAATTAACTGCTTCCAAGATAAACTCAAGCCCTCTGGTGCTTCATGAGGTTAGTTTATGATTAATATTAACATCCATTACTAATAATCATTAAAATCACCACTTTCAAAATCTAATTTCATACTTTAATAACCAAATTTCTCAACTACAAGATCAGCCTCACATTCAATGAGTTTATTAACTCCCATTAATTTCGTTTAGCTTTCAACAACTTAAATAATCACTGATATATCATCTAACAATCCAAAATCATCATCATTATCACAAATTACTCACTTCCAACTCTCAAATTTTAATACTTTAATCACTCATAACTCTCAACTCTTAATTTTAATCATAATATTAAGTTTATTAACTCTCATTAGCTCTAACTAATTTCATTAAGCCCATCTACAACCATTAGTGGCTTCCAATAATGCCAAACTTCATTACTAATGACACTTTATTGCACAAATTCATCCATAATTGAGAGCCCATTCTTATAGATGTAAGGTCTCCCTTATTTAATCACGTTTAACTCCAAAATCAAGGTAATCAAGGGATTAACTTTCAAAGAAAAATTTTTAAAAGTGTATACAAATGGGATCCCCAAAGTTCAATTTTAAATCTCAAACAACACTTATTATACTCAAATCAGAGTTTGAAAGCAGTGCGAAACTTGGGAGTCAAATAGGACCCAAAACAATGAGTTTTAATACTCAAAAATGGATTTTATGTAGAAAACGACACATATGTCATGACCTGTGATATGTACACTGCGGCTTATCTTCTATGTGCCATACACCATGGTGTATTGCACGAATTTAACAGCATCAATGCTGTTATTTGATAGAATAGGGAGTAAACTTTCGACGCGTCTCAAATCTCCGT